GAAAATATCAGCGTTTCGTGTTCGTTTTGACTTCGTGTGGACGGGGCCTAGATGTCCAGGAGAATTTCAGTTTTCCTGCAAGCCCCCCTCCCCTCTTCAAGTTTGTGTATTCACTCTACCTTGCTAAGTGTCTCTAATGTAATGCAAATAAGCAGTGATATAACCAGCCCTTCTACATGAGTCTGGATAAAGGCTGAAACAAACTGGCATCAGAACAAGAGCATGCTCCAAACACTTTTCATTGCCTTCCCCTGCAACAACAGACCTTTATGCAGGAATATCTTGATAAGTCATATCTAAATCATTTATTTAGACAAGTCTAATGAACAACCAGATATCATACTGGTCCTAGTTCCTGAGCTGAGAACAGGTCATAACCATGCTCTTCCAACAAGGCAAGGCAGAGCCTATTTATATTGTCCATTTACCAGCAGACTCATTTATATTGTTACAAAGCTCACTATGTGAAAGAAAGAACAACTTAGAGAATAATTGTATTTTGTCTTTTCTCACCTTTTCAACATTTCAGCTTAGATAATGACAAACAGTATGATTTCAGTGTTGGAGTAACATTTATTCCACCCAAGGAAAAGCACTACATATGAAGCTACAATTGTCCCATTTAGCAGTTTTCAAATCCAAGGTGAGTCCTTCCTGCATTTGTGACAGGTATACTTTGTGCAGTGCACACATCGCTCAGTGCTGTGGTTCCTGTTGCAGAGATTGCACACCTGGCCTGCTTATAATAACAATGAAGAAATCTAAAAAATAGAGTTTAGCACATTTTACCAAAGTAATAGTTGTAGTGTGAACTAGATGAGGTTATCTATGTATGCTACAAGTTTTGTGGAACTAAAATGATCTATAGTGTAATTATTGGCTATTATATGCCTATAATAACAAAGAATAAATCTCCAAAAATACAGTTTGGCCTATCTTTCCAAAGTAAGAAAAAAAAAGAATGTTAGAACTGTAAATATACAGTCATATGTTTATATAAATATATTTTTTATGTATTTATTACTGTT